TCGACGCAGAGAACCTTCATGCTACTGACAGTTGGCTCTTCTCTCTATACCTTCAAAAATTATGGAGTCTCTGATATGCGATGGTATACACGTTGATTGATTATCCTGAAACTTCTTTTCACCTCAACGGTGTGATTTCAGGAAGGGTCATTCTCGTATAACCAACCTGCTGACTGCGGTGGACAGATAGACAACTATTCTCGATCAAATGAGGAAGGTTGACATCACTTACCCTGACTTTTCAAAAGTTTTCGATAGAGCCAGTGTAACGGAAAGAGAAAGATGAAAATCCCTCTGCAGTTTTTTGATGGACAGTACTGTTATTTGTTTGTTTCTTCTCCATGTCGTATATTTTAACCTTTGTTCAGATCTCTATTAACCGCACCTTTTATTCTCCATTATCCTCGTCTGAGCTTTAATTATGTGATTTTGATTAATGGCTAATGTTTTGTTATCTTATTTTCTATAGCATGTTACCAGACTATTGACAGTAAGGTCGCGCCTCAAGGTCACGGCGTGGTTCGGTGTGCGACTGTTAACCTTCTGACTGTCTGCTTGGGAGGATTGCTGTAATCCCTGCAGATAGATATTTGATCCAATCTTGTTGGGAATATTTCATTGATTCTCAGCGCGCTGCTTTGTGTCAGAGAAACTTCTGGCCGTATAGCACAAGCTGTACCGTTTGAGAACCATTTAACCTGAGCACGGAGTTTGTGTTTTGATATAATTTAATCTGGGTGTCTCAAAAACGCTTTGTAAGATATAAAGAAGAACGTGGTCCGTCAGTCCTGTGTTCAAACCAAATATTGGCAGTTCGGTCGTTACAGTCAACCATATGTATCTTAGCAATAAGCCCAAACGATGGGGTATCAAATCACCTCTAATTGATTGGCTCACTTCATATCTAAAACGGTTGACATTTTATAGTCATGTCTATCTCCACTTTCTCTCAGGCTATGAAATGTCCCCCAGGGTTCAGTGCTAGGATTTCTTTTCTTGATTTATACCAACAATCTTCCACAACAGGTATCATCAAACTTGCCAATTTTCGTTTATGATGTGAAAACTTGGAAAGAGACAGGCAACCAAGAGGATACACTGGCAATTCAGGATCATGTGACTCGACTTCAAAGCTGGGCAGATGGCACTGGACTTACCTTTAACAATTCAAAGTGTAAAGTGGTCCATCTGAAACATGTTGCAGACTACAGCTACGACTAAGGCGACGACTTGAAGTCTCACGCTGAATATGGTAAAAATGTCTTTCGAGCAAACCCTGCACTGGTAACACTGAGGCGCACTTTTGGCCAGTTTTACAGAAGGAATTTCCACATAACCTTCAGTGGTTTGATTCATACCTATTTAGAGTACGGAAACATAATATTTCCTCCATCACTCCAAAAGGATAATGTTACACTGGAGAGTATCCAACTTCTATTCCTTAAGAGTACTCAAATGCTGGAATTTACTGCCGGCTGGGCTATTCCGATCGATTTTCCAGGAGTCCTTTAGGAGGAAACTTTACTATGATTTGCCAATTTCTTTTTCTTCTTTTATGGTTAGTATACCTAGATTCCTTCCTGGAGGTATTTGTGACCCATTGCTACTAGACAGAGAAGCGAAAGCTTCTTTTATTTCTTCTACAACAATTTGAACCGTTTTGAAGTTAAACATGGTTAATTACCATTAGTGTATTTCCTCAACGAAAAAAGCCGTGATGTTGTACGTTTTTTCAGTCTCCCGATTTCGGTTCACGGATAAGGCTGACTTATTAAGTCAGTTGTTTTAAAACAAAACATGGAGGTTTTGAACCTGATTTGGAAGGATAACTGGGATGAGATAACTATCAAGGCTTTCATCGAGGGTTTGTTGGTCAGTCGCTTACTCCAACATAAACGACTTTACTGCTACTGAATTACGTCCTAACTCTAGATTATGGAAGGGTGTGCTAACATTTTGTCGAACAACTACGTAACCTCCTTTAAGGAAATCTTTTTGAGGTTTTGAAGGGTCCGAAACACAATAAATATGCATTTCAGATGTAACGTATCTGGCTAACTCCTATGGTTATCTCGGTACTACTATGAGAAGCCGTGCATGTGAATCAGTTATGTCGTACTCGCGAATGTCAGCTTCTGCATAGTCGAACCAGGCTTCGATGTTTTTGAGACTAGCATAACATGGAGTGAGAACTTCAGGACGCTATCGTCTTGATTTGAATGAGCCGAGAATTGCGATCCGACATTATGGAGATAAGACACGAATTTGCAACACAAAAATACAAAAACACAGATTAATATCATAGTCCGCCAAAAAATCTACATATTATACGTTACAAGAATTAAGTTAATTTCATATTTCTTAGTCTACCAGATCACGTCGAGGCTTATCAGTGTGAAAGATAGGTGATACTTAGAATTTCCTAATACTACCACTTATGGGTTATTGACGGCTAGATTTTCCATCTTTATGGCTTATATTCTCATCGACTTAAAATAGATTTCACTTACTGAAGATCCTGTGAGGGATTTAAGTCATCTTTTTAACACATGCTAAACATGTATGGGGTCGTTAATTATGACAAAACGTTTTGTCCAATACAGTTTAATTACCATTTTTATAATTAATTGTTTCGGTCTTGAACACTTTTCTGATTAGCTGATAACTTGTTCAAGGTCGTCAGTATGGTTTGATTATAGTATTCGGGACCGCTCTTCCTTCCTTCCATACTCATTTTTCTCAATGGGATGTATTTTGACATGTTAATCACACTCCGGAGTTTAAAACTACCTGTGGTCGTATTGATGTGTTTTTAGTGTGTAATTAAACCCCTAGTAAGTATTTGTCACATAAATGTAAATCTGACTCCATGTAGATGGTTCTTCCTCGTGGTCTACTGAAAATCCACGGTCGTTTCCTCCATATTTATGGCCGTGACATTCCATCCAATATCCCACTACCCCCATACATCACTAATAAGGTTGACCTGACGCTATCTACAATAGCTGTGCAGAGTGAACGTAATATCAGTGAATGTAAACGAGCAGGTTCAATAATCCGCCAGATATTTAATGATCTCGGAAAGTTTATCAGACCGGGTTTGTCTACTCAAGATATTGATGATTTCGTTTTTAATCAGTGTCTGAGTAAGTCAGTATACCCATCACCGTTAGGATATAAAGGTTTCCCAAAGTAAGTTTGTTGTTTGTAATTTTTACTTTCCATTTTCAGCTAAGTTTCGAAGTTCGCTTTCTAACAGCTAGTTATCATAAATAGTTTACTAGAGCAATAGATTTGTAACTTGTCCGCATAAATATTCATATCACTTGATGTGGGTCTTTAATTATTTTGTATATTGAAAGTAGAAAAGAAACATATTGACGAGAAAGGGTTTCTGTCTCAAGAGATAGCTTATTCAAATGTTTTTTTTCACATGGGAAAGTACCTGATACTAATAAAGGTTTCATTTTTATCTGAGTGCATTTTATCGGTTATTTAACAAAATACGGCTACACTAGCTGTTTAATGTAATATGTGTTTTCTCTAACACAGGTCGGTCTGCACATCGGTAAATGAAGTTGTTTGCCATGGAATCCCAAAAGAATCACAAATACTAAAATTGGGTGACATTATGTCTGTGGATATATCAGTTTATAATGGTTATGTCCATGGTGATGCTTGTCACACCTTTGTAGTTGGTGTGGATAATTACTCTGATTATTGTGATCTGGAAGCTGGTGCACGGATAAAAACTGCTGTCTACTTGTGCACTGTTGCTCAAAAGTGCCGTGATGCTGGTATCAGTGTTTGCGGCCCCAATGCTCTTTATACATCTATTGCGGAAGCAGTCACGAAATGCGCCGATGCATTTCAGTGCCGGGTTGTGGTAGGCGTATGTGGACATGGAATCGGCCCATTTTTGCATGGACCACCAAAAGTAGTACATTCAATCCATGAGTTAGCTTCCCAACCACTGGCACGTATGCTACCTGGACATATGTTCACCGTCGAACCGTGTATTTCTCTTCCTCTCAACAAGTCTGGGGTAAAATTCAAACGGAACACAAGTTTTGCAGTTCCTGTTGTCTTGGAAGATGGATGGACAGTGGTTACTAGTGACAAAGCTTTGACAGCTCAGTTTGAACATACCATTTCAATTACAAATGAAGGGTGCATAATACTAACGTGATTTATAGTGTTTTTCTTCTTCATCGATGGATTCATTCTGTTGTTGCGTTGTTGAAGTTGATTTATGACTCAATAATTTTTATATTTACTGGTACGTAGCTTAATTTTACTCATTTGCATTTTAGAAGTGATACTCGTAAGTATACTACTTTTGCATACAATCCGCTTCGATGTTAATTTGTGTTTCGACTGTCCCAAAGGAGATTTTTCCACGTAGTACTAGTTTGACATTCTACAGATTATCTAGGTGTTCTTAACCACTCAAAGTGCATAGTTCACATATATTTGTAATCATTCAAAAAGGTGGGTGTCTTATATTTAGCCAGAACGATGAATTTAAAGTGATAGTACTGTCTATAATTTTAAAAATATCAAATATTGAGAAATGGTTCGGGAAACGCTAATGGATTAGCTTATTAAGAAGCATAAGATGGTGTTAATGCGTACGTTCTGGAGAGAGGGAAATAATGCATCTGAATTTTGATCCATATCACCCAACTCTAAGAATCGGTTATAATCATCAAGCTGAGTCCAGCTAGAGGTACAAACCTCTCTGACCACACGGACAACTCCGATACTGACGTCACTGGTTACTTCCGCACATTAGCTTTCTAGCTCACCTAGTCCAGAAACTCGGTTTAGGCGCTATCTAAAGATCCGTAATGCATGTTTCAACCAACCTATTCGACAAAGATTCACAACGAATTTGGGGTTTTCTCGTACTTCTCTCCATGTGATCTTAGATCTACTAAACAAAGACACTCATAACTAAATACTAGTAGCCCACGCCTATATCTTGCCTTTAAAGACAATGTTTTATAGCCATAGAATAAAACTAAGCCGAGTGCTTTTCAGTACACTCATCTTTTGCTCAGTCATTCATAACCAAAGTAGGATATATATAATTTGGCCTCAGTAACCATTACACATGAGATGAATCTAATACGAGAAATGACAAATAATAGTAGTACCACTGGTCGCTAAGAAAATTAAGGATTAAATAATACGGTTCGAAAAGAGAGGATGGGTCTAATGAATAAGCATTAAGCAAAAACACTGAAGTCCAGGAATTAGCGATGATAACTAGTGAGTTCATGAAATTCATTGTGGCAGGTTTTGAGCCATGTCTCTCTACCCTGGTTGGGGTTATCGTACGGATCTACATCAGGTAGCCTGTACTTATCATCGCTTCTCCGACCAATTAGTGGATCAATCCATAGAAATGTAGACCAAATATATGTTTTTTCATTAGTGAAGTATATTATTTAGTCAATAAATCCACAACGAGCTGTGAAACCTAGTCAGTTTCTTCTGTTGCGTACTCCGATTAAGCACTGAATAGTCATGCGATCAATAAATGTTCAGTAAAATGAATTTTTAGTCCCTGGTTCGTGCTGTTTTTCAATGGTGAAAATACGATTGATGGGGAGTACACATATCCATGGTTAGATGTTGGATGTGGTAATTATTATATTCCTAAATATATCAGCCATGCCACGAGAAAACGTGTTGTGTCTTCAGATGTAAATTGATATAATGTGCTACATTCGCCACGCAGAATTTCGGTTGTGATTTTTCTAACCCGCCTCTGCTATTCCAACAGTAGCGTAGCGTCATTAACCGTCGACGATGATGCATTCTGACGAAGACAAAAAACGTTGAGCAAGCCTAATCCACACTAATCCTGGTGGCCTATCTGCAAATTTAAATCTATTCCTATACTTGAATCTAGAGTTCAGCTTTTATTATATTTAATCACGCAGCATAGCAGCCATCTCATATATTCATTAGATTATACACACGAATTTTTAGACCGAGTAGCACACCAAGCAAGAAATCACACTTTGTACACAATCATGTTATAATTAGCAGAGGGTAAAACAGACGGTACGTAGTTACTTAGCAATGAGTAGTAAAATGTGCGAAAGTATCTAATAGGTCCATTCGAAGATTATGTTAAGTAGAATATGGGGATACACCAATGCAGATACCTTATACAAGAACATAAATAATCTGTAGGATATGAGTTTGTGTGTGACAATGCTCAAGTAGGACTCCGTTTCAAGTGGGATGGGAATTGGTCAGAAACTTAGTAATAAATATATTTTCATGGTATCTTAGTGAGTAGGAAACTGCATTTCTGACTTTCGCTGACTTAATATAAGTCATGAAACGTCAGAAATGCAACTGGCTGTTCATTTGGATACCACGGAAATATATTTTTTAATAATCTGTAGAATAGTTCCAAAGCTCCTAAACTTCTAAATACTCGTTTCACTACGACACAATGACAACTAAATTTCCTTGGTATGACATAAAGGTTCTATTCACCAGTACCAACGCAGAAATAGGCTTTTGAAATACCAATCACAAATACGGCGCTGTATAATGCAATGTAGTTTTTATTCAATTGTTCTACTGTTCACTGCGTTGGTTACTACCTACAAATCAGTTTATTCCACAATCTTTTACTAAGTCTTGTGGTGTGTAATGTCAAAATGCATGCTTTTTAGTCTTTGTCAAAGCTCTGTTCGATTACAGCTTCCTCAACAAAAAGATTGTTAACTGGTTTACTAGGTTTCGCCGTACTTCCAATAGATCAGACCTTATACTCTATGGAAATAAAATTCCCTACAGATTTCATCCACAAAATTTCAGTAGTGTATTAAAGACTTTCATACAAATATAAGCACTTAGATTCACATATATGTATATAACTGAAACAACCTGGGAGACGATTTTTTACACAGCACACTTGATCATTAATCAATACTTTCAGTAACAGAGACTTCCTTCTTACACACTTCCAGCTCTTTGGTCTAAGGTTTATCACTTATAACGAAATAAACCAGTCGTTCCATTAAAAAAACGATTCAGCGAGGAAACATTCCTGTCTTTTCAAATGATGTTATTTGCTAAAGCCTAACCACCGCACTTATAGCTAACCAGTACGTATAAATCTAATAAAACAGACAAATATTGAACCATCTAAAAGGTGGTTAAATGTGTTTTCCGGTATCGGAAAATTGCATAATCGTGGCTTAAAGAAATTAAATATGAAAAATAGTTGCCAACCAGAAGTATATGGAAAACTGTAAATATGTGGTTAAATTATTTAGAAATATCAAAAGCTGCTGAGTTGAAGACATTTATAAAAGAGAAATGAGAGCTCATTTGGTAAATATTGAGAATAGCGTACTCAGTTTTTGCGACAATAGGTCGTTGTTGATTATATAAAAATAAAGGAACGTGTAATAGATTATTGAAGGTAGGAGTCGGGTTATAATCACTGTGAGACTATATATTAGACATGCTGTTTTTGTATATAGACTAGGCTGGAATAAATGAGTTACTAAGTCCTCTGGCGTACATAACTTTCTAGGACATCTTCCTTTTCAACGACTTCTTTTGACTTTATAAATGACTCCAAAAATGAATTTTGGTGAAGAAACGTGAACAGAATCTGCAAAGTATCTCAGGATTAAGTTATTAATTGTCTTGGCTAATAATTTAACACTTGGGCAGTCATTTTTTGCAGACCCGCCTCAAAAGCATCACTTTGTGTAGCTGAGTTAACCTCCTTTATAAGAGTGATTAGGCCTAAAGATTTGCAGTATCTCTATAAAATATCAAATCAAGGACTGACTCCAGAAGATAACACAAAGTTCAAGCTGGTAGGGTGTTCCTCACAAGGATCCCGAAAATCTATTTTTTAGAATCCCTTCAATATCTTTCTTAAATTCAATCCTTTTAAAGAGGATCTATCTCCTTGCAGGCGTTTTTTCATATTACTATTTCATCTTAAGATTTCTCTTAGTAAGTCTACGTATTTATTTTTTTAAACACAAGTATTGGTACAAGAGGGCACCAAATATATATGTGTCACACAAAACAATGAGAATTCGAAGAGAAAAAAAGGTGAGGAGCTAAAAAAAGAACAATAACGAACAAATTAGTGTAAGGTAGTGTAATAATAATAGTAATGGGGGAAACGGAAAGGTACAATCAGAAGAGACCTTTCATTTAAGAAAAAAGCAACCATTTTTTATGAAGAAAGTAAAAGAAGGTTCACCACTGGCTTCTATTCTGAGTCATATCTGATAACGTCTCTAGCCACTGTGTTGCACCATCTCTAGGAACCCAACCAGCGAGTCGTGAAGGACCACAAGAAGCCAGCCCTTTGCTTTCTTTCATACCACGACACCATGTCATACACTGACCACCTCTCTACTTTTTCCAACCAGCCTCAGCGTCGGCAAATAATGCACGACGTGGAATTCTCTGGGAAGACATTCGTAGAACATGTCCAAGCCACCGAAGTCGGTGTTTCAAGATGGTGACATACGATGCCGAACCTCTGCATTACTGACATGGTGTTACCACTGAATGTCAGCAATCCTTCGGAAACAGTGATCAAACACAGGGAGTCGTCTAACATCCTCAACTCGGAGAGGCCAGGTTTCACAAACATAGACCAAAACTGCTCTCACCGACGCGTTGTAGATTCGAACTTTTACAACCAGACTAACATCATGAAGGCGCCAGAGATGGCCCAGATTGACATAAGCTGCTCTGGCTTTCACTATACGTGAATTGATCTCATTACTCACTCCACCACCAGCACTTATGCAGCTACCTAGATATACGAACTTCTCGACTACTTCTATCTGCTCAACATCCAGAGTGAGAACAGGATTAGAATCCTGCTAGTGTTGTAGAAATACTTTGCACCTCAAAGGTGCGAAGCACATGCTGTACCTACAGACATTGATTGCGTACTGATTAGGTGCGGATTGCACGGCTTGGGTATTATCGCATAGTAAGACAATATCGTCCGCATACTTTAGACCGAGAAGTCTTTCTCCGGGCAACAGATCCATACCGCCATTACTTACATCCGTCAGAGCTGTTTTCAGAATGTCATCGATGGCGAGGTTGAAGAGGAATGGTGAGATTGGGCAACCCTGCCTAACCCCACTGCTCGAATGGAACAATGGAGAAAGGTGGTTGTATACCCTCACCCTACCCGATGTGTTTGTATATAGGGCATTTAAGATGTTAATAAACTTCTCAGGCACATCATTCTTCAATAGACAATCTCAGAGAACAGCCCTATCCAACGAATCGAAGTCAGCCCTGATGTAAAGAAACACTACGATTGTTGGCCTTTGATAAGTATGGCGGTGTTCTAACATTTGGCGGAGGGTGAAGATATGATCAATACATCCTCGACAAGAATAAAACCCAGCCTGCACTTCGCGAGTCAATCTTTCTCGTGTTTTGAACAACCTACGAAGTATGACGGAAGCCAACAGCTTGGACGCAATCGGAAGTAGACTTATCTCTTGATAGTTGTTACAGGAACGACATGAACGCTTTTTAAGGATAGGAACAACTATCAACTCATCCCATGACGTTGGTACGCTCTCTAGCTCCCAGACCTTTGTAAACAATACAGTCAGTTCCTTAGCCAGAAAGTCACCACCATCTTTATAAAGGGCCAGAGGTAAGTCATCTGGCCTAGGTGATTTGTAGCGTTCCAAGAGTTGGAGTTCCGTGCGGACTTCTGCCTCATTTGGTGGATCAGTCGTCACCGGCCATGGAGGGCAGGACAGTCCGATCGATGTTGTTGGAGCAGCAGGCCAGTTGAACTGCCGTTCGAAGAATTCTGCCCATCGTCCAAGACGTCGATGGATGTTAGTGATTGATATCCCGTCATCCTCACAGATAGTTTCGCTCACACCAGACTTCTTGCTGCCAGTGGCTCGGATGAGTTGGAAGAGCTTCCTGTAATAACCAGATAGAGCTGATTCTTCCAGGCTTCTCGGTCCTTACGCAAGCTTTTCCCGATTCCATTACGTAACATCCTTCGTTTATGGTCAAACTCACGGTCACCCGGAGTAGACCAACGGGCTTCGATGAGTTGTAAGGAGCCTGAAGAAACCCAGTGCTCACAAATGGGACGCTTCGCGAAGCCGCAAGCGGCTTTACTCACCATTTTCATGGCCTCATGCAATCGCAACCGATGCTCATCTATACTTCTCGGTGGAATGGTAGCTAGCCTAGAAGCTAGATCGGTTCGATACTTAGTTGCAACGGAAGTTACAACCAACTTGCTGACATCAATCGTTTGGTGGCGGTCACTTCGTTGTTCATTGAAAAGTAAGGTCAAATTGGCGCAGACCAAGGCATGATCAAAGCCCAGATAGGTACTCCAAAAGGAGCGGCAGTCTTGTACACAACCACGCCAGCGGTAGCTGATCGCGATGTGATCAATCTGAGTCCAGGCTTGGAATGCAGAGGGAGGTGGCACATCGGCGATGACTGTGCCGAAAGTTAGTGCTAGCCAGAAACAGGTTGTGATCTGTTCGCAGTTGCTGTAGACGGCCCTCGTTATCTGACCTCCGATCAACGAGTCCCCATCGGCCACCTAAACGACTCTGTTCTGTGCCTAGACACTGACCTGAGCATTCAATTATCCGGCTAGTACTACAATACCTGTCGAACGCACTTTCTGGAGAAGAACAGATAACTGGTGGTAAAACTCATCCTTGATTGCATCCAGGCTGCAATCTGTCGGGGCATAGGCGGAGATGACGAAAAGACATCGTTTCTCACTCCGATTTCTTCTCACTTTGATGGAACTTTCTAATCTAACAGCACATAACCGACTGTTAATGGGGATCCAATCGACTAGTGCTGCCTCAGATCTAGCGCTTAGTGCGACACCAACGCCAGCAAGACTAGACGAAGATGCCACAGGGTCCCCGGATAAACGCACGTAAAACAAGCTTTTCGAAGCGACAGATTGAGATCGAATTTGTAGTACTTCGCCAGAGTCTTGAATACGGATCTCGGATAGACAACAAACGTCGATATTAAGACTTTAAAAAGACCATATCCAGTCCTATCTGTTGTCCAACCTGCATAAATTTGCGAACGTTGAAGGCAGCCAGTTTGAATGGTGCACGTGGTTCCAGAAAAACTACTCCAGTATTCGTATTTGGTGGTAGCATACAATTTTCAACCAGGCAGTGACTCGAGGACGTTTGGATAGAACCGAGTTTCCACCATAGGCGAGCTGCTGTATAGGTCGAAAAGTAAGGATACACAGAGTGGAAATAAAAGAGAGTGAATAAATGACGCAAATAATAATAATAGTAATAATGCGAATCGTTTGATTGTTAATCGAAGCAAGACAAGTATTTTCCATAAGTATCGACATTTTATTATATTTGTGTGTGGGCTGTGATACTGCCCGGGTGCCCAGACCGAAGCAGGTGATTTTCTTAGGGAGCCACACCCCGAACCTTTGACCTAAAGGTTTGACCCACAAGGCAATGGGGCATCATGAGGAAATGCAGTCTCATGGTAGCCAGTGGCCAACGATTGGTTCATACGCCATTTGTTCCCGCAGTATACTGGAGCCCATGTGCACCATTGGTTTGGGATCCGATTAGAGCGCCGGACATTCGGTTTTCGTCCTCTCATTTTCGTAAACTAAATCTAGGTAGATAACCACTATTGGTAATTATCTGCTAGAACTGCATTAGTTTGACGTAGATTGTGTCGTCAGTATCAGTTCTTCTGAATTACAGAGTGAGCCAGTCTCCTTTTTCTGCTCAGTGGAAGACAGCTTTAAAAATTAGTGTACCAACTGTTTCACTTTGGCTCGAGATAACCGATGGAAATGATTTAAGTCGTTTAAAGAGATCGTAACTAATGACTGAAACATCTGTCATCCTTTAAGGAACATTTGTCAGGCTTTATTCAGTCTGTTTAGTTGTATATTTTGAGTACTGTCTTTAGAAAACTTGGCTATCTGATGGCACGAAAAAAGTTTTGTGATGTGTTCTAGACGATTAGAATTAAACCAACACATTTGTCAGGTCGACTGATAATCAGATGTTTAGTTCTCACAGTATCGGATAATTGGGTTTCGTGCTCATTTGAAATTAGGCGTCTTCTTGTTGCCCTTTTATTTACATATTGATTTCAATAGCGCACAATGGCAATTTTAAATTCTTTAAGATGCTTGTTTGGATAAGATTGTCTGTTTAGTGAATTAAATGTACGCCCTGGATTTCACCGTTGCGTTCGGTGGCTTGTCAAGATGTCTCAAAACTGTTTTTTAACATACGTCTATATAGAGGACGATAATTTTAATAGTTTTGGTTATGACAAACCGTTTTCCTCTCTATTTCATGTGCATGAGGCTAAAATAAGTTGATAATCGAAGACTTACTTGTCTGATAGTAAATAAGGAACTATTAGAGAGGCTTGAAGAACGTTTAGTTTTGTTCATGAGGCGCTGGTAGGGTTATTTGAATTGCAAAGTATTTCAAAATTATGCTTCAGTATTCCCCTTGGATTAATAAATGGATGTTATAACTAGTGAAGAGCTTGTATTTTCTGGCAAAGACAAATAGCAAAGTTTCCATATGTAAGGTCTCACACTTTAGACAATAACTTACTACTCGTCGTCTGACACTTTTTATAAAATTCATTGATCAGAGAGTTCGTTATCAAATTGATTTTATACTAGAAATAAGATAAGAAAATATGGCCAAATACGTTCTCTATCATCTTGATGATACGTGCGCCTATTCAAAGTGGCAGACTTAAGATGTTAGTCAAAGACCAAACCCTTTTGGCGCTGTACACATTATGTTTCAGTCATACTATTAATATTATTGTCAATCTATGAATAGAACAGGTTTATTCATTACGAAGATATACCAACAAACATAATCTTGAAAATCTGCTTGATCAGACAAACTGCCGTTTTAGGACTCATAGATTGCCGATCATTTTTAGTGCAGCACCAAAAAATAAACAGTTTTTGTTGTTTTCTATAACCATCTTAATAAAATATTTAACATCAAACTTCATTATGTTGCGGTGAATCTGTACCCACTGGCCTCCGGTTTTATAACTACCCTGAATTCCAAACGTTTTACAGGTGGTGCACTGAAAATAAATTCCCCAGGGCTCAGTATTAGGGCCTCTCCTCTTCTTGATCTACATAAACGATCTTCCTCAACAGGTAACGTCAGACTTACTACTTTTTGCCGATGACGTGAAACTTTGGAGAGAGATACGCAACCAAGACGATACACAGGCACTTCAGGAGGATCTGACTCGACTTCAAAGTTGGGCAGACGATAACGGACTTACGTTTAACACTTCAAAGTGTAAAGTAGTCCATCTGCGACATGTCGCAGACTACAGTTATAACTTAAGAAATTCCTCTCTAGTAGTATCCCAAGTCGAAAAAGATTTAGGAGTCCTGGTGCCCTATGATTTAAAGTCTTACGCTAATTGTGAGCAGTAAATTTAACAAGTGACCGAATATCAAGATAACTTATTCTTTCTTATTAGTTCACCCTAACTACAACTGTGTTCAAATAAACTTATTTAGACGGCATTTCTAAAACCATTTCCCTGGACAATCTTGACTCAATATTCTTCTTTTGGGTTTTGGCAAGAGGGTCGCTTCAAATAATCTCATACGATCATAAATCAATTTCGTGTCATCGGGCACGTAAACGTATACTGTATTTAAAAGGTGGTTTCAATGACCTTAATAACTCAGCACTTCAGTAAAACAAAACAACATTTGTGAAACTAGCTGCTTTTTTGCACACACGTATTTTTTTCCATTTTTAGTTCATTTGGGCATCAAAGTTGTACACCGTTACTTGAAAAACCTTGCTGGTTTAACGGCTTTTTATCTGATTGGTTATTGGTTGACACTAAAGTTATGTGTATTTTCAGCACCACTCTATCCTTAATATTATACTGACATGTTTTTAAACATTGATAATTACAAGCATTTGTAACTATTGTTGTTAACTGCCATTTCGAATGTCATATTCTAACATAAATAATTCTACCTTGTCGCGCTCTTTTGAGTCTACTAATGACAACTTTCGCTCAAGATCAAACTCTCCGGCGCATACTATCGGAAGCAAGACTGGTAGCGCGTTTATTCAAGATAGTCATAGCATTAGTAGTACAAAGAGCGTCAAATCATACCCTAGGAAAGGAACAACACTTGCGAATGCTAATCTTACTGTTGAAGAACAAAATCATTTGGAAGAAGTGCTTTCACGCTTCGATAAATTTCGACAAATTGAAGACAAACGTGTGAGGTAGGTATACTATTTTTAAATCCCTTGGTTTTAATCAGCTTTATTATCACTAAACCAGTTTTGGTGATGTATCCATTCTACATTTTACGTTTATTTATTCCTCAAGATAAAAATGGTTTTAAATATTGATGTAAAATATTTAACGAATTGATTGGTTCCCTGTCTATTCGTATAAACTTTCTGTGATATCCATGGTTTTAGGCTGAAGGCGTTTTTTATTTAGTTTGTCTAATTTTATTTCATATTTCTAGCAGCACAGTAACCGTAACAATTCGCTGATAATCATGTAATAATCTTCTTGACATTTTCCATTATTTCTTGAAGATAAATTTTATCATACATTTGGTGTAGTTTTCTTCTATGTTATATCGAAAGGTTCATATTTCAGAATAATAAACGCAGAAGCCGATGGATGATAAATCATTCTAGATTGTCAACAGATTTAAATTTTAATTATTGGTAAAATTCCAGTTTATATGATTCGCGTTGGGAACTATTTTAAATCCATGAAATCCCCACTTTTCATAGATGAAGTGTTGTTAATCGCTTTAAATATAACAACATATTCAACCGATTATCTAGGTTGACAAACTTCATTTTATTTACCATTTATCTCCAATAAAATATGATGTTGTATATTAATGATCCTCCGTCACTTGCCATACTATCAAGGTGATTTTCTAGTTAAAATAAATTCATCTTTGAGCTCATGATTTATTCACGAGGTTAGTAATATTCAAAAAACCATTAGATTTTGACCTTGTGTAGAAGTGACAGCTAAATTCGAAATTATTTTGAAGAACAGACCTTATCAAATATAATTAGGCATGAAAGTGGAATCAAGCACTTACTCTAATCCAACCGTTTTATGTTTATTTTATTGTCTAAAATTTATATTAGTTATCTAAGAGAAATTAAGTCTTGGTCAAAGCGCCTTTGATGAGATCATTAACATTATTTCTTGATGAACAGATCCGTGTATCGAAAAGGATAGCAGCCTATTAATAATCCATATGAAGAGATTTAAGGAAACTGAATATTTGTAAGGGCAGATGGAATATAATGAGAAAAACTAGTATTTAACCAAATGATTCACATTCCTAAATTTGAATAGTTCTATTTTGCTTCACTAATTATTTAACTCATTAATATGCATAAGATATTTAAAGGTCGGTAATCTCAACCGATGACTAAATTTATTATTACTTGCAGCTGCGTAACTGGCTTCATTATGCCGAAGATGATCGCGTTTGAAAGTAAACATTAATACTTCTGTACTACCAATATCACTACCATTACTATTGTTAATTTTCATATCAATATAAGTTGTTAGACAACAGTATATCTAGATTTCTTAATAAAGTCATAGTAACTTAAGTTGAGCGCACACACGTCAAATGAACCTAATAAAATTATGCTTTCCTCCCTTTGTATACACCTGGAAATATCGATATTCATCCAAGCATATGAGAACGTTTGATTCTATAAGTATTTTAGTTCCATGTTTTTGTTGTTGCATTTTACATTAATTACTGTATGAAAGTGATGTACTAAAAAATTATGTCATTCGGTAGGAAATATACATAAGAGACATACATAAGAGACCAGCACTAATCACGGTAATGATGAAAATTGTTATTCTTGTGACCAATGAATTACGGAAATTTCTTTTCTAGTAAGTTATATATATATATATATATATATATATATATATATATATATATATATATATATATATATATATATATATATATATATACGGTGTATTTACTGTCTAAAATTCTATCACAGACAATCTTTTAGACATAAAAAGGTTGTAACAAAAAATTGTTTCTTCCGCAACTTTTCTATTCTCAAGTCACAGTTAATATGTCATAATTATTGGTTAAGTCATCTAGGGTAGGTAAAATGCAAGTCTGTTAATTCATAAACAGATGAACCAATGCAGAAATGAAGTATTTAAGTGATATATTTCATCACTAGAATTGAATAATCCATTCAGCTTGAGACTGGAGATTGTCCAAACTAATGGTGATTTATTTGATTACATAATTAATAAATCACTACTGAATGTGATACTTATTGGTATAATTGGATGATTCTTCTTTCGACATTTTTAAAATGTAGTCCTTTCAACTTCAAGTAAGTATGTTCATTCTGTTATCAGTATGATTTTCTTATCGTTAACTTTTAACTTAAGAAATAAATTCTCTAAACTGATGTCTAATAAAATACAAGAATATAGTAGATGTGTTTGTACATGTTAGTTAGTCTACGAAATACAGTATTGTGATGGCTACAGTCTAGTTGAGTTTTTTCTGAATGCATAATATAAGTAAGCTAGCTAGTCATTACCATAAATTAAAAATATAGGATTTCGCACCGACTGTGTCTTAAATACGAACAAAATTCATCATTGGTAAATTTAGAAAAAAGTCATACAAGAAGAGATAAAAAACTTTTATGCTTGGTGATGAATTTTAATCAATAGGTTAAAATTATACATAAAAAATCAATACAAAATAAGAATCGTTTTGTTTTGGTTATCGTGATCATAATTATTATAATAACAATAATTACTAGTAAAAGTTAGCTGCAAAATTATAAATGCGAATGTATTATTCAGAACAGGAATATCTAACAGGAAGGAGTACAAATCTCCATGATAGTTATTTTAATGAATTTATTAGATCAGCATGATGTTGTATGACTTGTTATATCACCTTCGAAACATACTTAAGGGTAGAGTCTTCTTTTTGACTGTGACAGTTTGTGTCTTGCTTTTAAACTGAGGTACATACTTTTTTATAGAATTAATAGGGTATTCATTTTGCATTGGATAGTAGTTACAAAGTAGATATTGATCGTGTGTTTGGGTAGATATCTATTCAGTTTCTCTGTTGAAATTGATATCGCTATGTTCCTTTCTTAAGGTTGTTTGCATATATATTCGATGGTTTATGTCAGTGGAACCTTTGTGAATAACTATTTTATACCTAAAGATAACATACCTTTATTCGTTAAATTCGTACTTATTATTGTTCAAGCCCCCAAATGCCCTGGTACGGCCGAGAGTGGGAAAAGTCCGCTCTCCCTCTCAAAATGCTCTCACACGGCCTCGCGTATATAGCCTCTGCCAGGGAAGTCCTACTCACTGCCTTCTCGTGGAGAGGGGTGTTGTTTACGAAAATGAGAGGACGAAAAGCGAATGTCTGGCGCTTTAACCGGATCCCAAACCAGTGGTGCACATGGGCTCCAGTATCCTGCGGGAACAAATGGCGTATGAACCAATTGTTGGTCAACGGCTTCCATGGGACTGCATCTCCTCACGATGCTCCACTGCCTTGTGGATCAGACCTTCAGGTCAAAGGCTCGAGGTGTGGCCCCCTAAGATAACCACCTGCTTCGGTCTGGGTACCCGGGCAGTATCACAGCCCTCACACATATCGAATGAGATTTGTGTGGCGCATATGTATTTGGTGCCTCTTTGTACCAGTATCTGTGTGTTGAAATAAATAAATAAAAATACCACATCTAGGAATCCAGATAAGCCTTAAAAATGTTTAACTAGGTGATCAATAGATCTTGGCAAGATAAGTAGAATTTGTCGGTGATTTGATATATATATAAATGCTCATTATATCCAGAGTAAATTGGTCGCGTAATGTTTGACTCCTATCTTAACAGGATCTGTGTTAAAGGCGAGTGATATAAGTCTGAGGAGTTTAATCTTTCAGCTGTATAACCTGACTAAATGTTGGTGATTAGAATTGTACTACTTAGTGAAGTAATCTTCGATTTATTTAACCTATTAAAGATTCCAACCTTACGGACAAACAATAATTCACTAAGCATTTGATCCATATTGCTATCCAAATGAGCAGTTCAATTTAATAGGTGTCATTACCAAGGTTCGACTTGATCATTTTAAATAAATACAAAAGATATCATGAACATATCAAGAATCTAGATAATCTAATAAAACTTCTAATTCCTGCAAACCACCATTTCTAACCTCCTTATAAAAAGAATTCATCGAAATGCCGATAAATCAAAAAGTATGAAGAGATCAAGGAAAGAAAGAAAGAAAAGAAAACGTCAATAATAAAACCTAGTTCTAATGGTCTAAGAATCGATCATAATTTTTCAGACAGAAATTTAACCAACCATGAAATCGCTCTACTAGAGAATGGGTTAAACTTCAGTTTACACAGAAAACTGCTTAGTACTCTTGAAATTGTTCCAGCTATAGAACCATTAATCGAACAACTACCGGAAAGTAAGAGTCTCATTTACCACGTAAAAACATCCCATATTTTGACTAAACAAAATTACCTTACACCTAACAATTCAAAACAAGAACTGAGGGCCATACATTTACTTCAGAAAGACAGAACTATTGTAATCATAAGGGCTAAAAAGTGCGATACAACAGTAGTCAAGTATAAAAAGGATTATGACATTAATGCTTTTGAAAATTTTTCCACAGGACCACATCAAAAGATTGATCAAAAAAATTTTCAAATGGTTAAAAATCAAATCAAATCAGAGACAAGTCAGCTTTTGAAAGAACTAAAACCAGTCATTGGTATCTTGTTATGGTTTGCTCCATATCCATAACCATGCACTACTTCACGCTTTCTATGGTTTACCTAAAATTTATAAGTCAGACGTTCCACTAAGACCTATAGTAGACTTTACAAACACGCCAACATATGCATTATCCAAATATTTAAGTAGCTTATTAAAGCCACTTCAATACAAGTTACATAATACTAAGTAAAAAAAATACCGAAATTAATTATCAGAAAGGATGAAACCATGGTAAGCTATGATGTTGTATCATTATACACTAGTATTCTTAATGATAAATGCTTTGACTTTATTAGTATTTTACTGGGGGATGATAATACTTGATCTGACAGATGTCTTTCAAGCATTAGTCTAATCATGAAATCCCTAAGACTGTGCTTAAATTAAACCTTATTTGTTTTTAACGGGCTATTATACAAGCAAAGAAACGGAGTAGTAATGCCATCCCCCGTGTCCCCGATTTTAGCCAACCTGTTTATGTCACATGCAGAATCGCTAGTGACATTAAACCACGAATTCGACTCATATATAGATGATGTTTTTGTTGTCATAAAAAAGACTCTCTTAAGATTTTCTCCAAACTGATCAATATACTCTTATCTCACATTAAATTTACGAACGGGATTGAAAATGAAAACGGTGAACTACCATTTTTAGATTGCTTAATTAAAAGAAATCTAGGTGTGGCTATATATCTAACCATCTACTGAAAACCAACGCACTCAAATCTTTATATCGACTTTGATCCAGCACATCCATTAAGGGCAAGAATTTCTCAATCCTGAAACTCGATAGAGGAGCGGACAGGATTATTACATTTGAAGTAGATAAACAAAAAGGATGAAAGCATATGACTGACATCTTATAAATTAATTATTTTCCTATGGAGACTGTTAATAGTACAATAAAACGAGACATGTTACTGCTAAATAATAAGAAGAATGAAATACCATGGATTGGTGCCATACCGCATTGGCACAACAGAACTTCAAGGAGTCTTAAAACGAACACCCTTCGAAATACTTTAGTTCGCATAAATGAAAAAATACAGAATCATGTCTACAAATTAGGATGTGTCGATTGTGATACCTTCTATATTGCAGAATCATCTTGTGAAATCTTGACTCGAGCCAAAAAACCATTCCAGGTACGCAAAGAAACTGCCTAATAATCCCGTCAAACCGGAAAGACTCCAGATGAAGTCGGTGATAGCAGTTCATGGTACTTTCAACAACCATCAAGTCGACATCAAAAACATCAAAATATTACGAAGCGTTTTTTTCAATACAAAGAAAGGCGAGTAGCTGAAGCTTTGCATATATTGCTCAATCCTACTGTCCTCAATAGAAAAGGAGGTCTCAATATCCATCCGACATGGATTATTTATCCGAGCTATTATATCTGATCCTATTCACATTTCACACCGTTATCGCATATACAAATTCAACTCTATCTTTTGGCACCAAAAATGTCGTTTTTCATCCTTTATCATACATACATACACACACAAATATACAAACATGCTTTACATAAACCACCTTGACTGGAATGACATTAACTTGGTCATGCTTATTTTTGGTTGATCGTACCAAATATTCTTGCTTTTTAAACTTGGGTTAATTTAATTTGTTTAATTATTCTCTGAAGAATTGGCTTTTACTGAGTCAAAAGACGTCAAAAAGTTTGAAAACCTAATTTTTCCTACTAATTGGGATATTACGATTATATTATTTTTATTGAGTTCAACTTAATGGTATGTGATGCTCAACTAATCTTAACCTTAGAGTAATTTAAATCATAGATTCTTCGTAATCTTTGACATGATCGCTTATTATACGTTTGAGTTAGTAGAATTTATATTTTAGTCAAATTTTCTATATCATATTATCCTCTCAGCCTTAGCGAACAATATTTCTTTTGTTATGAAAATAAAGCTATTGTGATTACAGAATACAGTGTCATTTCTATCTATTGTATATTTCTGTGTATTTGGATGAGTGTGAATTCTATATAGATTAACCATCTACTTTTGGCAAGATAATCTATAAAGTCATATGACTACAGCACATTGATTTTTGTTTGGTTTTACATTGTTTTCATGTTCATATATATATCACTCTAGATGTCATTTAGTAAACTGTAAATAAAGAAAGAAATAAAATAGTACATAGAATAATCACTATTGACGACAGACAATCACAGCAAAGATTTTTAACGGAGAAAAATAAGAAATACAGAATAAGTTGCTTACAGCTACAACCATCATTTTTTGTAAAGTAAATAAAATGAATTCATGAGTCGATTCCAGCTAGACCACGCTAGAAAAGACATGAAAGCACTGAATGGCCGATTCGTCTTAGTATGGGACTCCTCGGCAGTGCGCATCCACGATCCCGCACACGGAATTCAAACACAGGTCCTTCAGTCTTGCGCGCAAACACTAGTGAATAGCTATAACTAATGGAGTTCGACCGTATTTGTTGTGATGCACTTGTTCACTGAAGACAATGGTGGACGGCCGTGCAATGTCATGGATTGGTTGAAGTTAGACATTAACACCGTTGGACGCCGGCTCAGTGGTCTAGGGGTTAAGCGTCCACACGCGAGACCGAAGGTTTTGAGTTTAAATTCCTCATGCGGGATCTCGTATGCGCACTGTTCAGGAGTTCCCTACTAGGACAAAACGGCCGTCCTGTGCTTCCAGGTTATCCAGGATGGACTAGTTTAAATTGACTCATGGATTCAATCAACTATGATAAAAATTACCAAAATTTCCATAAACCCTTATTCTGATAAATAAAATGAGTTGAGGATTACTTACTACTGTCAATTTATTTTTTTAATGACACATGTAAGCTAAACCAGAGTTGAAGTCACAATTCGGTTTTATGCCCGTTCACAATAATTCCCAAATTAATTTCAAACTAATGACTACTGTGAAGCAATTATTATAATATTATCCAGTCCTTAGATATGTTCGGACCCAGTCGATCACGTTTAAATGCTACTATATATTTAGGTAACTGAATATTATAGTTAACATTCTTCAACATTAATTGACTTCCGTTAGAACACCCCACGCAATTTGCAGTTATGCAAAAGCAGATCAAGCATTTGTTTCATGCTAAAAACTAAAAGTCTTGTTAGTGTACACTGTGAATTCTATATGAATCATGTATCTTAAAATAGTGGGTTTTTTGAAAGCACAAAAGCTCCATAGTTGATGATATTATTATTTATAAATGTTAAACTATTGGGTAATTAGACTTGTATGCTATATATATAGTTCTAGTTCTTTTGATACCAGTGGTTTATTACTTTAGTCATTCAGTATTAAGTGTTTTGAAAGATATTACTCCCACTAACCGGTATGGAATCATACTACTTAATTGCGATTAAAGTGTACTCACAGTTTGTATCGACTTGTGTTGTGTTGTGGTCATTGTTTAATCCAACGTAGATACTTCAGTTCATTAAATTGTAACTAATTTAGTAAGTTATACGTAGTTATCTCATTCTTTAAACAGGTGAGGCTAATTATTAAAGTGTGTATCACAAATGGTATACTTGCAAACTTCTTGAAATAGTTAAAGTTTAATTGAAAGACTCTCATTCTAATGTGTTAGAATAGCTTATCAAAGTGTTATTCAACTAAAAAGTTGAAGATCGGTATACATTAAACACATTAGACATTTGATTATCCTTTATTCTTTCTCGATATTACGTATGTTACGAACGTTCAAAGTTTTAAATGACGTATTCAGTTTACGTAATTATTGGATCAAAACGTTTTATCCACCTACGATTAAAACTCGAATAATTGGGATCAACCAAAAAACCATTCGAGAGAAATTTATAATTATATTTTGTGGTTATTTTTTGAAATCTAGTTAATATGATCATTTATATTGATAACATTCACGCTTAGGGTACTTAAATTGATCAATAATTAGTATTGATTTATTTGCTGGGTACTATCATTCCAATGCACTCTATAATATCAAATAAATAAAAAAACTGGAATCTTTGGTTATTTTCATTCTCTGGTAGAATCGGTCGTCGAAAACATTCACACTATATTCCATTTTGGTCTAAGTATTCTCACTTTACCGCACATTAAGTATATCTAAAAAAATTTTAAACAATGAATATATTTTTTCAATCATAGGAAATTATAAGAATAGTAAAAAACATTGATCAGTTATATAATTTAGGGATTCATTTGGGGAGCTTCAACTGAAGAGTTGGATTTAATCAGCTTTCCTGAATGTATGCTTCGTGATTATTTACATTTATGTATAGGCTATCAAAAACCAGAATAAAGTGTTTGTTATATGCTCCCGAATTCTTATACAGTTAAGATAAATGAAAAAAACTTTACATCCTAGTAACGAATTTGTACAAATGTTTTGAAATTATTTTTGCAGAATGCACCATTTCTCTATTTTTTCTTTTCTAATTCTAGACAGTTATGCCAAGAAATGATTGATAAACAAAAAGCTCGTATAAAAAATTCAGAATCTATTGGTGAAGGTCGATGTAACAATTGTAATACTCTATTTGTACCACTTTTACAACCGGCTATTCGATGTGTCAATTGTCATGGGGATTTCTGTCGTATATGCACAGAAAAACTACCTAATACAAATGTTGTGATGTGTAAATTTTGTCGATTCGAAACGTAAGCAACCAACTCATTATTTTATATTAGTTAACTGAAATTAAATCCGATGAACAATTGTTTTTTATTGGATCTTGTTTTATATTTATGTTTTGCATGTTGTAGATGGTTACACCTGTGAACTATCACTCAATTTTTTTGTTTAATAACAATTGAAATTAAGTTACTGCATTTGCACCGTATTAACTTTTGAATAAGTACGTATGAAGGAATTGTTTTAGTTCTACTTAGTGCTAAATTTCCAGTTAACACAAAAGAATTAAGAAGTTACTATGAAACAATCAAAATGACAGTAGTTGAATTCCTGCTACGATTTTCTATGCAATGCCTAAGTAACATAGTGGTTACTAGACTAAAAAAGGTGTATGGTATTTGATGTTGTACAGTGGATAAACATTCTTCTGACTTTTTTGAAAGATTATGTTACTGTCATTGAAAAGGCGGGTTTGTCACCATGTGAAAAACTATACTTCTTGTAAAATCTAATTTCATATCATCCAATGCTCCAGTCAACTTTATCCGTCTGATCCACTACGCTTAGATTGCGATTTTTCCATCTATTATCTTTTACTAGTCATGGTTACAATGTAACTGTTTGTCAAATAGATTGTGCAAATCATACTAGGTGCAAATGAATTTGTTAACATATCTCATTTTCAAGAGAAAAGTATTTTCATCTGATGCTTTACATTTATTCTTTCTCATTGATTAGCTAAACGACTTTTATCAATCTGTATTTAAGAATGATGACATTTGAATAAACACAATTCACTGTCAAATACTTGTTTCACACCGTAATTTTGAATCAATATTCCTTGCTACAAAATGAATTCCATTGCCAAGTCTTCTTTCTTATTGTTAACAACATTAATAGTATCATATGGATTTTTATTTAGATCATAATGTCTTAAGTGACAGCAAAAGTTATATAGGTGAACACAATATCACTGAAAAATATAAATCCATACAATTTACGTATAGAATAATAAGAGTTTAATAACTCATTATTTGTAATGTAAAAGATTGAGTAATTCACTTGATGAATGATCTTATTCAAACATCTATCCATCATCAGAAATCTATCATAATTATGAATTAAACACGATTATTATTACCAGCTAAATTAATCAAAGTTAGTTTAGATAGATAAAGCATTAAATTTTAAATTTTATTTGTTTTATTGATAGATAATGTGATTGGCTAAATGAGATTATGTTTTTTTTTCAATCAGGGAAGTTTTCAATTCATATAATTTCAAGAAGTGTTTATGCCAACTAATTCTATAAATATCATATTCTGAGTCGGCATAACATCATGTTGCTGTAGGTCGTACTTTGGTATCGCTTCATCTGGGGATAAATTTTTTACCTTTTACTATAGATTCCTAAAGGAATCTTAAGTACAACGCATATTGTCTCATTTTTCTAACTCCATCTTTGGATGGAGTTGAATATGCGGAAAATTTAATTTTGTACTGAATATATAATATTGAATAAATACACTATCATTATTGTTATGGTTATTATTAGTAGCAGTAGTAGTAGTGCTGAGAAAAGAAAGGAAAAAAATGGGTTACAATTACTGACTACAAAATAAAAATGTGAGAATAATTAATAAAGATTTGTTTCCAAAGAAAGTGAGGTTAAAATCATAGATGATCTATTTTACGAGACGAATTGGACTACCGATTTGCTCATTTAGCATATTAATATCCTTTAAAATCACGCTTTCGTTTTATGTGCCTTATTTAATTGTTTCTTCTTTAGTGAAATTACTTGAACATCAAACATCGTAATAGTATTTATCTGTAGTTTTACCTTACAATTTCCTCTGGTTTTTACCACCATCTACACTTGATAACAAAATGCGAGTCATCAACTTCTCAATATCACCTAGTTTTAAATTCCGCGCTCATTCTGAACTTTTGCAACTTTTATGCAGAAAGTGAATCCGTCAGTCATTATTGTCTATGATTCCCTGACATGCCTATCAACTTCGTATTTGGTTGGTTAGTAGAAATCTCCTGCTCACTTCTGTAACTTACTTAAACTTACTTTATAATTGGTACACATTCTGTCTAAAACTTAATTATGTACTAAATTATTTGTCATAAGGTTCTTTCTGAACGTATACTATCGAGAATGTTTCTTCAAACTAACTTCTAGTGATTAACTTTTGATTTCTGGAATTAATTCAGATAGTGACGGATATAATCCAATTTTCGTAAAACGTTTTACTAACTTCAGTGGATCAGAAATAAACTATCGAGGATCATATAGGTGTAACTTGTTTGTATTTAGCCTACCTTGGTTTACATTGAAAGTTCTATTAAAACGATATAACTTGCTATCATTTCGTCATTGAAGTGAATATTATGTCAGTCGCTTGTTGTTCACTGAATGAATTATCACTTTAGGTTATCCTCAAGAATCAAGCTTTAGTCAGAACGTATTTTGACATCAAGATAACCATATGATTTTTTAGAGGAGTTTAGTTAATTCATACCAAGTAGTTGTTCTTACATATAAGCTAGCCTGCCCCAAAGACAGAACTATTTCAATAAACTAAAACTAAAATTCTGACTGTATGTTCGTAATATTTTGTTGTGGCTATTTATTTAACTGCTCTTTGAATAGCTCTACTGGTTTACTTCTAACATTAGCGGGGTAGAACAAATCAACTTTATATCTGATAGGGAAGTTCATTTTTCATTGCCTGCCTGTTAACTTTCGTGGACAAGCACAGGCTGCCCATCAGGATTCTCTAACAAACTCTGTCCTGGGTTCTCCTTTCCAGTTGTTTCCTATTGTTATTCGTTCTTTTGATATTTCCTACGAATTCCCGACGCAATGTGTTCATCACTCTGCCTCTTTTTCCATTGCCGTCAGGATTCCAAGCTGAGGCTTGACACGTGATGCAGTCTGATGATTTCCTATCCACTTCCAGCATCTTTTCTTAATTTCCTCTTCAGCTGGGAGTTGGTTCATTCTCTGCCATAGAAGGTTGTTGGTGACAGCACCCGGTCAACAGACACTGAGTATCATGCGTAGAGAATTGTTGATGGATGCATTTTCTTTTTTCATACATAACATAAAATTTCATAGCCATACTTAAAACCCTAGTTATGGTTTTGTACCAAGAATATAAATAATTTTGTTGAATACCAATAATTTAACAAATCTAGTAAATATTCAATTTAAAAGTGATTGATAATTAATACGATATTTTGATAAAACCATCATCACCTAATTATGCAATAATCGTTGTATATTGTATTGTTTATGCATATTTTATTGTTCATTGACCCTTTTTTCAAATACACAACTACGGAGTAATTATGAACTCAACTCAGTGAACTTAGTTGATTGATTAATTTATTCACAATAAGTAAAATCTGGTTAATGTAACAAAGAAACAGCAGAATAGCACTCGAATTATTGACCAAAACTATTACTTTCAATATTTTTAGCTATGTTAGTAATCAGTTGATTTTGTTGCAAATCAGTTTTGATAAAAAGTGACTCAGTGTACCATATGTTACTCATAAGGGATAATATTTCTTACAAGTATTATGCATTTATCTATTTATGACTAAAGTGACGACGGATTTATACTAGTCTTTCACTTTTTATTATACGTAATCAAAATGATAATTAATTTAAAGTCTTGTTCTTTGCATATACCAGCTCGAAAATAACCTTTAGTTATCTATACACAGTTGTACTGTTTTTCGTGATAACAACAAGAAAAAAAATGTCATAGAAACTGATCGATAAGATAAGATCGGTAGGAAGCATCATTTTTTAAATTACAAGGAGAGGTTATGAAAGACAACATGCAGCTTGAAAACCTTATCGATTAAGGATTTTATTAAAAGAAAATAGCAGGAACTGTAGTTGGAAAAGTCATAGAAATATAATTCAAAGTTTAATCAAGAATTTTCGTTAAATTGTACTCAAAAGGGTTATATCTACCGCCTTCCGCATTGTTGCTATCTGTCGTGTTAGGAAAAATGACTTTAATAAACAAACTTTTTTTACTAATCATCCACCCTGGGTCTATTCACTTGATCATATATTTAGGTGCGTGGAACTAGTTTTTTTTCATCA